TATATATATATATATGTATGTATGTATATTAGAGCCTGTTTTAGATCATAAACGGAACAATGACGGGCTCAGGTTGGGGTCGGTACCAGCTACCACAAAGATAAGCGGCTCTATTTTTGGAATGAAATGTATGACGGTGGTTCTAAAGTAGCTGGACTGGCTTTAGCAATGTCACAGGGCCATTGCAAGGTGTTATAGGAACAGGAGGTTTAATGTCACAATTTACATTATTTACAATAGAAGTTAGCTTTATGAATCACTTTAAATCTATGATTCAAGAAGCAGCCATACCTTCTTCATCGTCTTGGTCATCCTCAGCAAGGTTTTCCTCTGCTTCTTCTTCTTCTGCGTCATTTTCCACCTCATCATCTGTGTCTTCATCTGCAGCTTCCTCCTCCTCGTCACTAGTTTCCTCATCATCTGCAGCTTCCTCCTCCTCGTCACTAGCTTCCTCATCATCTGCAGCTTCCTCCTCCTCCTCGTCACTAGCTACGCCATCATCTGCAGCCTCATCATCCTCTTCATCAGAGTCTTCCTCATCAGCATCACCATCTACCTCTTCTGCCTCTTCATCATCCTCCTCATTTGCCTCTTCCTCATCATCCTCTTTATCATCTTCACTATCTATCTCAACAGCCTCGTTATCTACCTCCTCCTGCTCCTCTTCATCCCCCTCTTCTGCTGCATCAGCAGCCATCTCTTCCTCCACTTCCTCCTCCTCTGCTTCCTGTTCCTCTCCAGCCTTTTCCTCATCAGTACTTTCTTCCTCTTCCTTATCCATAGGGCCTACCTCTTCACCTTCCTCAGCATCTTCAGGTGTTTTAGCATGGATATCTTCCTCTTCATCAGTCACATCCTGGGCACTAGCTAAACCAGAGTGGGGAAGTTGAAGTGGGGACAGGAGTACCAGCAGGAGAAAGACTACACAGCTTCTCACAAAGGCCATGTTGGAACAATTCGCTCTGGAACAGATATATTTCCTAATGTCTCACCTGTCAAACAAAAATCCAAGTTTGCTTTTTTAAATGATCATTTCAAATGCAAAGTAGGATCCAAGAAAATCTGTGATAAAAGTGGCAGTCTTTACAGGTCTGCAGAGAGCCGGTGAAAGAATGGCTTGGTCATGAGACTGGGAGAGTGAGCAGTGTGCCAGCCGTGTACTAGGAACACAGAGGACACTGTGGAAAAGCAATATGCACTCTGTCGTTGTGCAGCAGAAAGCTTGTGAGTGACAGAGGCACATGCCGAGGAAGAATGCTACTGATGTCCCTAACAGTGTGTTAGAGGAAGGGGTGTGTGCTTGATTGGGTCTGTTCTGCATGAAGTTGCTGTAAAGAAGGTCAGAAAACAGCACAAGAAAGTATGCATGAGGGGAATAATTCTAGATATTAGGTGACAAATAATACATTCTCATTTAAGAAAAGTTATTCATTTACCATGTAGTTTGTTAACACAGTAAATATTTAACATGGTAATACTCAATAGCAAATAACAATACACTGGTCATAGGATTCATTGGCAAAACTCATACTCAAAACATCTCAATATAACTGAACATTTGTTTGATGTCATATGCATATGATGATCATACATGGAGTGATTCCTTTGATTCCTTAGCTTTGAGATTATGGACCATAGCCAAAGCAAATCCAATACTAAGTTTCTCAAAGGCTGTCTCGGAACTCCACCCTAATCACTATATAGGGCACTATCTAGTGGTTACGCCATTTTAAATGAGTATCCAAACGTCAAGTGGACGAAAATGTAGTGGACTCAAAATATTTCACAATGCTCCTTGAAAGGTAATGATCATCCATTGTCACTAGAGAAGCAGATATATCCCAGATTGCTTTGTGAGAGCTGTTCTCACAAAGCATTATGGGATTTGTTGTGGCAGCGACAAATAACAAAGTTTGCGCAGGCACCATGTGGGGAGGCAAAGTTATGTGACAGTGAAAATTAATTATCATCTGTCCGCACGGTCAGTTAAATGCATTCACTATAAAGTCCACTTTATAGACTGTGCCACACAGTGAAAGACTTTGTTACATACAACCAAAGAAAACAGGATGGGGCTGTTGTGCATGAATAATTAATAAACACACTATGCTGATGAGGCAACTACTCTGCAGAGATGTTACGAAAGCCCAGGCTACTTTATTAGAAACCAATTCTCCTAAGGCTTATTTTATTCCTGTTGCTTCACTTTTCTGCCAAAAGTTTTTCGATCACTGAACTTTCCATCGCTACTCTTTGAACAACAAGCCCTCTGTACAACCAGTAACTTTAGCAATTCAATTTTGTTTGATACCCTTCTTGTGAAGAGCAGCAGTGATGCCTGCTGGTCAATTTCCATATCCTAATCTTTCTTATAACTGTCTAGGCGATGGATGTCTAAAGTATGTCCACACTAAATGCTGCGCTGCATGTTTCAGTTGTTTCTCTACTCCGGCACACCAGATTTTCATTGATGACAGATTAGCAGGCTTTTGCTGGACAAAAACCATCTTATTCCGTTTTTTTTATTGTTAAAAAGCAGGAAAACATCTGAAACCTGCGGGACACCAGTCCTTGACCGAGGTGAAAATCTAACCTTTCTGTCATAAAAAAAATATATATTTTTAATTAACTCCAGTAATGTTTTGTGACCTTGTTTGGGTTGAGGATGGGATCCGTTGGGGTGTCAGGATTGATTCTTCTTAGACCAGCTATATTTGGCTGACTTGTTCTCATGAGTTGCTGTTAGCCTTGCCTCTGAAAGGATTGGCTGTTGGGTATATGTGGGTCTGGGGTCGGATTCTAGGTCTGGGCCAGGTGTGGCAATGCATGACTCGGGATGAGGGGAATCACCATCCATATCCAGGGGGCTGGTTGCTCCCCTGGGGTAAAGCGTCATGAATTCGGGAGTAGAGTTTCTGTGTGGGCAATTATTGTACGACCACTGGGTGTGATTGTGTTGAGTGCATAGTTATCAATGTCTCTATGTGTGGGCTTGATTGTGGGAACATGTGATTGTGTGCTTCTTTCTTTGTCAGGTTGGATCTTGGGCTGCTCCTGAATCATCTCAGGCCCACACTAAATGTAGAGCCTTCTCCCTCTGCTATCAAACTTCCTGCTGATTGGCTGACACCTTGGTGTGTTGGTAGTTACAGGTGTTAAGAGCTTGGTGCTTGGTTTTGTGCTGGCTAATTCCTGGTGGCTGCATGGTTGGGTGCAGATCCCCTTGTTCCGTAGTGCCTTTGCTGGAGCACGGTGTTCCCTTTAGCCCCTGGACTCATGACTGGATCTGCTGCAGTGTAGCCAGCTGTTAGGGGGGGTCTACAGGCTAGCCGCTGCAGCCCCCTGTGGTTTTCACAATGTGGCTTCTGGGGAAATAAATCTAAATAAAAGTGACATATTATTATGAGCTGAGAGTTATACAAAGCCAAATAAAAGGTTTTAAAATGGTAGCTTGTAAAACGATCACAGGCTCAGACAGAAGTCAGAACAGGAAGACAGAGTGTCAGTTTGATGTATGGAGTGGATTTAAATAGAAATGAAGAAGATTGTCGTGTGCACATTCCACAGTTACATTTTTAGCCATGCAGTGTTTTAACTTTCATGTTTGTCTATGAAAGCATTAAAGCAGGTAAAAGGGTAAATGTATTTATATATATATATATATATCTATTAACTATATTTAGATAAATATAGTTTACAATGGAATCTTTTAAATATTCCTCAGCTGTATATCTGCATTATCAGGGCGGCTATGGATCTAAAAGTGATTACTCTTTCTCAGTGTGAGCTGCTGCTTCATGCAATTGACAGCTGGTCCAGCAAACTATTTAGAGTAAAGGCTCCTTCAATAATTTGCTCCACTATGTGACCTTCAGTAGAGCCATGTCATGTTGAAACCAGGCACCACGCACCATTTGTAACATCCATGACACTCCAGTCCTCAGTATATGCTGCTCCCACAAGTTTTAAATGACCTAAATATAATTGAATGAGAAAAGCCAAACCCTAATATAACCTTACAGATTGTCTTATCTAACGTTTCCCAACATTTGCACACACAGAAAGAATCATATTTGACCAGGCCTCTTATTATAGTCTTAAAAACAAAACAAAAAATCTTCCTTTGCTATCCTCCACAATCTTTGCAGTGGTAAGAAGAATCTTGGTCTGGGTCCTGCTTTGTTTTTTCCAATTTGAGCGATTAAAAACTTTTAGATTATGCTCTTATTGTAGATAAGGGGAGGTTTCTGCACATTCCACTTCACTCATAACCATTTTTCTAGGTCTTCAGAAGGTGACATCATGTTTGATGAGCATTATATGCTTTTTGATTTCTTCTCTAAAAAGTCATATTGACATATTGCTTGAAAAGTTCTTCCTTCTTGCTTTCGATGATGTACAGTTCCAAGGGTTAATTTTATTTTTTGTTTTTAGACAGGCGTTACGATGCATATTAATACAAACAAGGAAGCTTTTTTTTATGGCAGCAGCTGATCAACATTTCAAAAGACTAAGCTCCTAAACTGAGACCCAAATAACAAATGACAGGGTTTGTAAGCAGAGATGGCAGGGGGATAGAATGTCCAATGATCCAATGATCTCTTCAACCTGTCATGATTACAACAGTGAAGAGTATAGAATGGATGGAATTCAAGCGATAACAAGAACTGAACCTTGTCTTACTGAGATGTGGCTACAGGATCATTAACTTGACTCCAACATCTTGCCAAGCAGTTCTCTATGTCAGTGGCGGCTGGTGGGGTTTTCTCTGCTATACATTAAAAAATATGCATGTACCAAAAGCCAATCAAACATGTACTAAGTTATCACACCAGCATATTTATGTGAATGCCAACAAAAACAAACATTAGAAAAACAAAACATAATTTCATGTTCAGGTTTACTTTTTGTACATAAATCTTGCCCTTCTGAGGTTTTGTGAAGGCATATCTGTGTTTTGCTGCGTCAGATCCTGAAGTTTGAAAAAGGAGGCAGGCAGTCAAGGCAGCAGAATAAAGCCTTAGCCTTGCTGCATGCAGTTAGCCAAGCCTTGAAGCTAATCCAGGTCCGGGAAAAAGACAGAGGGTACCATCTCCAACTGTCTTTGGACTGCTGATTATTTTTGATGTTTGGCTGATCAGGTGCAAACAGTTTCACTTCCAGCTTCTCTTGGTAAGTTTGCTTCCCTCCTGCAAACTCGGCCTGTTAATCACCCACACAACAACGATAGTTCCTGCCACCCCATAGGCGGTAGCTTTGGTGCACCCAGAGCTATCCTATACATCTGTATTGCAGAGGAGCCGATGCGCATGGACAACTTTTAACTAAAGTCAATGAGCAAACATTTTTCCGCCCTAAAGCAGAAATATGTCAATATTTGCCAATCTGACGAAAATGAAATTACTCTATACTTGTCATTAAAGATTAAATATTTATCTTGCATATATAAAAATATATTATATTTAAAAATATTTACACTTTATAATTTAATTTTAATTTGGGGTTTTTTATGTCTTAATCAATGTTATTGGGCTGGTGGGGCGTCACCCGAGCGTCCTGTATCGGCCAGACGCTACTGCCCTAATCTCAGAAGAACAATTAAAAGCAAATATGTATACATTCAGCTTCTTTTTTTGAGTGTATGTCATGTTATGCCAATATGGCTCTGGGATTAGATGTCCCAGAACTACAGTAGATTATAGCCCAACAGCTTTGCTTTCACAAGCAGACCATCAAGATTGCTGCCATAAGGCTCCGCTTGGTACTTGTATATGAAACTTTATTGAAAATGATTTCAGGCGGAAAGGGAGGTAAGACATTTTTTTTTTAAAAACTGCTAAAATAGACAACACAGAAGATATACAATAACTCCTGGAAGTCTGCTTCCACACCTGTATGAGACAAGAAAAAGAAGAAAAAAGCTTAAAGAGCAGCAATTATCCTTTAGATATCCTTGTGTGTGGAAGGCAAAACCTGTGGTAATTACACAATATTATTCAGGGTGGTATATATCTGTAGGCCTCCACCTTCTGACAAATAAAAAATTCAAGTTATGTTAAAAAATTCAAGCTAGTTCTTGAAACACTCTTGTTAAATAAACCCCACTTAATACATTAGACGGAGGAGATCAATATTTTAGGCTAAATAACACATAGACTATGACAGCTCTTGTAATTAACTCAATAGTT